GGCAGGCCCAGGGCTGGGCTCGGCCCCTGTATCCTTCAGAGACACCACCATGGAGCCGGATGAGGAAGTCCTGGGACGGACCGGCCTGCTGGGGCTGCTGAGGGCTTTGTGTTCATCAGGACACAGGTTCAGCTGTTGTAAGAAATGCCTCTCTGAGGCCGGCAGATGGTGTAGCAGTTATGTCACTGGATTCCCATGTGGTTGACCACAGTTCTAGTCCCGGACCTGGTGACTTGAAAATCATGCTGGGTGTGTGTGCATGCGTGTCCAAGATCCCAGGGGTGGGGAGAATGGAGAAGAGATTGCAGCATGGCCATCCTCCCTGAGAAGTGGTTTTTCACTTTCCTTCTCACTGTCTCTGTCTCTCTCCAGTGAGTGTACACACCCTAAGGCAAAAACCTCTGAGAAAAAAAAAAAGAAATGCCTAGCTGACAAGACACAGACATGAGAGAAAGCTATCCCTCTCTCATGTACGTAAGCAAGGGCTGATCCCACGTCTCTGTGGTGTCAGAGACCTAGGTTCCCTTGATCTTGTTGCTTGCCCTCTACAACACCTGCCTGCCATTTTGTGGCCCAAGATGGCTGTCTCAGCTCCCTCCATCACATCTGCATCCCAGCCAGTGGGACTGGGCAAGGAGAGGTGCCCCATTCCTACTAAGGATGATCATTCTGCTCATCTTCCACTGGCTGGGCCTGGTCATGGAGCCACAGTCGGCTGTCAGGAGCACTGGGAAATAGAATCTTTGCCCGGGAAGCATCTCCTTGTGAGCTGCACTTGCTCAGGGAAGAGCTCGAGGAATCTGGAGACACCATTCTGTGTCCAGGACATTCCAGCTCTGGGAATGCTCTCCAGGGATGTGGATTCCCAGAGGAGCCTCTGGTTCCTTCACAAGTGGCTTCCATGCCATCGGAGGGGGGAGGATGCTGTCCTTGTCGGAGCCACGTGGCTCATTCTCCGCGTAGTCTCTGGCACCAGCAGCTGCGGGGTCCTGTGCTTCCTCTTATCAGCAGGCAGAGTGTGAACGCCCACCGTGCCAGGTGCCAAGCGCCAAGGCCTACACTGGGTAGGTGCTGGGGCAGGGGTTGAACACAGCAGGTCCCCGTTCTTTGTCCCCAAGGCCTGTCCTCTGCTCAGGACCCACGGTGGGGGTCTGATGAGAGAGGATTTTTTTTTTTTTTTTTTTGAGAGGTCTTTGCTATAGGGCGCGTGCACTCGCGAGAAAGACAGAGACAGGGAGACAGAAAGCGAGAAATCACCCCCCCAGGGGGGATGGCCACACTGCAATCCCTTCTCCTCCATTCTCCTCTCGGGATCTTGGGCACACATGCACAGACGCCCAGAGTGAGTTTAAGCCACCAGGTCCAGGACTTGAATTGCAGTCGACTACATGGGAGTCCAGCAACATAGCCATTACACCAACTGCTGGTCCCCTGATGAGAGAGATTTTAACCAATGACCAAGAAGTGGCCCTAGTCCCCTTCCAATGGGGCTGGTGCTTAAAGACCTAAGGGACAGAGGGCTGAGGAGGGGTCACTATCTTTGATTGGACTAACTGGGTTTCAGGTAGTTATGTGATTTGGGGCCTCAGTTTCCACACTTGTAAAATGGGACTGATAGAGTCCTCACTGTGAGGCCGTCATGCAGCGATGTGTGTGAAATGCCCAGCACGCTGCTCCACAACTCAACCAACGTCAGCTTCCCTCATCCTCCCACTCTCTCGAATTTGTCCTTGGCTCTGCCCAGGGGTGTCCCTGCTCCAAGTTGTCCCCTCCCCCCATTTTGGCCACAGCCATCGCCTTACGGCCTCCCCCGGCCTGAGCTCTGAGGAGATAGAGCTCTGGGAGTGAGGTCACTTGTGCCGGGAGAGGTGGTCCGTGGGGGCCGGGCAGGGACCAGCAGCAGACTTCGCGTGCTGCTCCCTGAGGCAGGCCTTCCCTTGGCGGGCGGCTGTATTGGCACTTTCTTTTCTTTTCTCTCTATGGTAGAGAGTATGCACGCGAGAGGGAGAGCGAGTGAGCGACAGCACCCTGCACAGGGTCTCCTCACCCTGCGACCCCTTTCCCCCAGCCCTTCAGCTCCCCAGGATTCTGGGTGTGTTTTCAGGCCGACCCGTGTGGCCACATGACGTGCAGCCTTGCAGGGCACTGGCGTTACCACTGGACCATCGCAGCTGGGCCTGTACCTGGCACCGCTGAGGCCCGGAGCAGAGCCTTGGCCTTGTCCCACCTGGCCTGGTGGGGCGTTCTGAGGCCTCAGGGCTCTTGCTGTCCCTGGCATTGGCTGACATTGAAGAGAATCTTGGCTCCGGAGATAGAGGCAGTAGCTCTTTTGTTTCTGACTCTCCTTGAGTTGAACAGATGAAAAAATTGTGTGGGGGCAGAGGTGCCATGAACAAATCCTAGGATCCTCAGATGTCAGAGCTGAGGTCCACGGCCCGGTCCTCAGCAGGGCGCCACTGGCTGGGGCTGGACGGGCCACTAGACTTTCACGAGATGCGGTCCCAGGATGCCCACCCTTCCCGTCTCAGGTGAGACGGCGAGACACCTCTGACCTGCTGGGCCTTCGTAACTGCAGAGCATGGCTCTGTCCTGGGCCTCGTTTCTGACACACGGAGTTCATGGGGGAGGCCGTCACTGTGGGGGAGCCCTCACCCTGGGGGAGCCCTCACTGTGGGAGAGCCCTCACTATGGTGAGCCCTCATCATGCCCTCACCCTCAGGCGCCCTCAGCATGGGGAGCCCTCACCGTGGGGAAGCAGGTGATGGAAACTAGGCCCTTCTTCAAGCCTCAGACAACTGCCTTCCACACAGACCTGCTCAGGCTCCCGGCCGGGAGCCGTGCTCGGCTGACCCTAACCCTCCCCGAGAGCACCTGCTGCCTTGCTCCGTTCGCTAACACGATCCTGTTTGGGTCACCAGAGACGCGGTTGGATTGGTGAAACAAGCATAGATGCACAGGCTTTCAACAAACTGTATTTTATGGTCGCTCTTTGTTCAACAAATCCCGCAGCTGAACACATACTTTGTGTTTAAGTAAAGGCCGACCTTGTCCTTGGGGACCTTACGGTCAAAGTATAACCTCCAACCAAGGGAAGGCCTCCCTCAGGTCTGCTTCAGGTCCCTGCCAGGAAAGGCGGACGCAGAGCCACAAGTACAGAAGCCAAGTAAATCATTCCTAGTGTGCAGAGAGGAAGCGGGATGAGAGCTATGCACAGGGCACGAGAGTGGAACTGGGGCATCAGGGAGGCCCTCCGAGGTGACCAGTGAGCTGAGGCCTGGCGGATGAGGAAGAGTCATCTTCTATATCGGGAGGAGTAGAGGTGTGAGGCAGGGAAGGCACCAAGGCCTCAAGGCAGACAGGTGCGTGGTGCCTTCGGAACTGAGAAAAGTCTAACAGGACTGGACACAGAGGGCAGTGAGTGAGGGGGTGCTCAGTGGGGCCAGACATCCCTACACCTGTTTGTATGTAACAGTGAGCTGAGCCCAGGGACCAAGGAGCCTCTCTCCAGCACATCAGGAGGGGCCCGAGGGGAGGTGAGGGTGGGAACTCCAGGCAGGACCAGCGAGCACGGAGGTGTGAGTGAGTTGGCATCCTGAGACCGTCTGGGAAGTCTGGTCCAGTGGATGGGCACAGGAGGATGCAGAGGTGCCGGGACCTCTCGTGCAGGCTGAGGAGTTGGGGTTTTGCCTCGAAGGAGCCCTGGATGGCTTGTGAACAGCCCGATGGGCCTTACAGGTGGCTTAGATCGGTTTCATGGCCGTGCCCAGGACAGGCGGACAAGCGGACAGTCTGGAGGCAAGAGGGGAGGAAGGCAGCAATGGCAGTGGGGCTCCCCCACCTCCCCGTGTTTCTCCTCCTCATCTTCCCCTAGCCCCCTTTACTCCAGGTCCCCGGAGTGTGTCACTTGTCAGAAGAGACGAGCCTGCCTCCTGGCAGGTGAAGAGTACAAGACCCCTCGTCCCTGCCTATGCTGGGCCCAGGGCAAGGGCTGGCTGGGCAGCTGGCAGCCTGGCAGGGAGAACATTGTTTGCTCTGCTGTGTCTCCCCCCCCCGCCACTGGGCAGCCTGATTAATGACCCACGATGCTCAGAGATCCCTGCGGGTCAGCAGCCCCATCTGTGCCATGCTGGCTGCTCAGGGAACCCCCTGCCCACCTCCTTCCGCTGCCACGGGTGCTTTTGGGTGGGCTCTGAGAAATGCTAGGACCTGCCCTTTCCCCTCATCCCCCTGCTCTTCTGCCCCTTGTGCCAGCCACTTCCCAGGTCTCCTTCAAATCCTGGCTCCAAGTCCCCTGGAGGACAGGCTTCACAGGAGCCCTCGTCTGGCTCCTTCTTTATTTCCTCCTCCTCGGGGCACAGCAGCAGCTCAGAAATGAAGGAACCCTGGCTACTTCTCTCCCTCCCTTTCCCCCAGCCCTCTGATGGCTGCAGAACAGGCTTCAGCCCTGCCGTCTGTGCCCACACAGCCTGTTTACATAGGTCCCACCTCTGCCTTTGGGCTAGCACGCTGAGATCCAGGATTGGCCTCCTCCGTGACACGTGACACTGGGACACTCTAAGTTGTTTTTTTTTCCCCCTTAAATAGGGTGGTCCCTGAAGGCGGGAGCTGTCTCTCTCTTAGTCTGAGAGCCCTCTGAAGACAAGGGCTCTGTTTGGAGCCATTCTGTCTGTCTCTCCCTCATGCCCCAAGACACACTGGCTTCGGTGTGCTCCGAAGGGACTCGGGGCCGCAGGATAAGCCCCCGTCTTGTCTGGGAAAGAGCATGTGGGAATCCCAGCATGCAGATTGCAGGCATGGATCTGGCTGGGACCAGACGTGTTGGGGCATGGCTAGGAGCTCGATAGTGCGCTGTCTGGGGCCAAGGGGATCCCGGGGCTCCCAGATATAACCCAGGTCCAGCAGCCTGGGAGGACGATGACTTCCTGTGGGGAGGCGTGGAGGGTGGCCCAGGAGCACCTGCCTACTCATACCTCCGTGGGCTCTGTCTTGGGCGCTGGCAGGAGGACAACCACAGCTACTATGTGTCCCGAATCTATGGCCCCAGCGAGCCCCGCAGCCGGGAACTGTGGGTGGATGTGGCCGAGGCAAACCGGAGTCAAGTGAAGGTCCACCGAATCCTTTCCAACACCCATCGGCAGGCTGCGGTGAGTGCCCCGGGCCCCAGCAGTGCTGCCCTGGTGCTCCCCTGCAGGGCTGGGAGGCCAGGGGCAGCTGCCCTGCCTGGTCAGTGGGTGTGGCCGAGGCCTGAGGCTGTGATCTGGGAGGTGCTTTCCAGGGATCCCCGGGGCTCAGCAGAGGAGGGGTGCCGAGGTGTGGCCGTGGGGACCTGCTCTGGATCTGCCTACCCCCACCCTGTCCAGACAAGCAGGGGGCAGTGTGGGTGCCCAGCCCCTTGGCCTGCAGCTCGCCCCACGCTGACTGTCTCCCATCCCCTGCAGAGAGTGGTCTTGTCCTTTGATTTCCCGTTCTACGGGCATCCTCTGCGGCAGATCACCATAGCAACCGGAGGTAAGGCCACATCAGCAGGACCTGGGGAGCATGTGGGAATCCCAGCCTGAACCTGGGGGGCCTCCCCAAGAGACTCACTGGGGACAGAGTTGTATGGATAGACTGGGGAGGTGCCGATGCTGGGCTCTTTGGGAGCCCCGTTCTCAGAAGGGAGATCCGCGAATATCAGGCCACCCTCTTATATCAGCTGACCTGCTTGTGTGTGTGTGCACACTCGTGTGTGTCCACGTATGTGTTTCCTTCTGAGCCAGCACAGGACAGCGTGGACAGCCCAGTGGTCCCTGAGTCTCAGTCTGTGAACGAGACAGGGAGATGCATTGAGAGCCTCGGCCCCGGGAGAAGCCCACCTTCCACACTTCAGTGTGCACACTCCCAGGGACGGGTGTCACTCCTCTTCCCGCCTCTCCACCCTGCAGCCTGTGCCCCCTGGAGGGACAGGGAGAGCTGTCTCTGACCAGAGGCCTTTTGCTCTCTACACACCAGACCAGAGCCCGCCAGGTGGGGACAGGCAAAGGCCTGAGACCCACTTCCAGCTCCATCTGTACCACCCGTTCCTGCTCTTGGGGAAAGACCCCTGAAGCAGCCCTCTGGGCCATCTCTGTGACTCCTCTGCACCCCTGTACGCCCTAGGCTTCATCTTCATGGGGGACGTGATCCACCGGATGCTCACAGCTACTCAGTATGTGGCCCCACTGATGGCCAACTTCAACCCCGGCTACTCCGACAATTCCACAGTCGCTTACTTTGACAACGGTGAGAGCAGACAGAGTTTAAGTCACCCAGCTCCAGGGAGCCCGTGGTCCGGTCCCTTTAGAAGAGCCCAAGATCCAGAAAGAACAAGCATCCCTAGCCACCCAGCGAGGCAACCACCCTACCTTCGTGCCCAGTTTCCTCATCCATGAGAGGGGACAAGCCTGCTCCCAGCAGGGCCTAACAAGAGAACAAAGTGAAGTGCTTGGGTCTTCATAGAGGTAAAGTAAATGTTAGGGTCCTTCAGCCCTTCCCACTGTCCCCAGGTTGTCCCCCACCCAAGAGAACAGACATTTCTCGTATTTCTCTTCCTTCTTATCTCAAGGTTAGGATAGGCCAGAATAAAGGGGTGTACGTGGGGCAAGAGGAGATCAAACATGGCACTCTCAGGCTGCGGCCAGACTTCCGGCTCCCCTCCAGTTGGGCAGCCAGGACTGCCCCGCTCCTGCCTCCACTTTCCGATTGCCCCATCATCCCAAAGGGACCTGGCCTGGGGCCAGTCAACTCTGGCTGCCCTCTCTGCAGGACCTACTCCCTGTACTATGTCCCCGCTCTTCTCCGCAGGGACGGTTTTTGTTGTCCAGTGGGACCACGTCTACCTCCAAGGCCGGGAAGACAGGGGCAGTTTCACCTTCCAGGTGGCTCTGCACCGGGACGGCCGCATCGTCTTCGGCTACAAAGAGGTGAGTGGGCTCAGCCGCGGCCATGCTGGGTCTGGGAGACTGCCTTCCGTTCCGCAGTTATTTGTAGAGACCCTGCAGTATGCCAGGACAGGGCTTGGAGCTGGAGACACAGCAGTATGGCCGAAGCTTGTGCAGCTTGAAGTCTGGGTGAGGAGCTCGACAGTAGTTACAGGGACAAATGTAGACTTGCCACTGTGGCAGGGCTCCCATGTAGAGGTGGCTGGAGCTAATGGAGCCTTTTCCAGGGCTCTTCACCGTGGCAGAGGTCAGGGGAGGCTTTCCTGAAAAAAGAAAGGGGGGGGGTTTGAAATGTGCAGACTGACTAGGAAGTAAACAAGGAAAAGAGTAAAGTGTGTTCACGAGAGAGAACGGTGTGTGCAAGGGTCCTGTGGCAGGACCAGCATGGCTCCTACGATGCACCAAAAGAAGGCAGCACGGCTGGAGGGGAGAGAGTGAGGGCCAAGACAGGGCGGGGACACGACCAGATTTGCCTCTCAGAAAGGTCCCTCTGGATTTAGAGTGGAGAACAGATGGTCGAGGGCTCAGAGGGAATACTGGGAAATGATTAAGGAGAGAGGTGGAGGCAGCTTTGAGTAGGGAGGTGGCGCGAACTGCAAAGTGAGGGCCACTTAGTGGGTTCCTTCACAGGATTTGGGGATGATCCGATAAGGGAGGGGAAAAACTGAAAAAAGAGAGGGGCTGAGGTTGCCTCCAGGTTTCTAGCCTGCAGGGAGGCACCCTCCACTCAGACGCAGGAAATGTGCATGGAAGGCGTTGGGGAAGGCTTGGAATCTGGCTGAGATATGGGTCTGAGAAGTCTCTGAATCCTTCAAGAGATGACACCAAGCTGGTACATGGGTCTGAAGCTCAGAGGGGAAGCATGGCGTGGTCCCAGAGTGTCAGGGTAGCTGGAGCCTCTTCTCCCCTGCTGCAGATCCCTATGCCAGTCCCGGAAATCAGCTCCTCCCAGCACCCTGTCAAAGCCGGCCTGTCAGAAGCCTTCATGATTCTCAATTCATCCCCGGATGCGCCTGGTGAGTCCTCAGGGAGCCAGCAGTACCCCGGCTGGCACGGGCTCAGCTCAGACTGGTCAGTCCCAGGCTGGCGGGGGAACGGCAGGATGGAGAATGGATGGATGGTAGGAAGCTGAGTGAGAGCTGAGGACGGAAAGGAGCATGAGTTCTGACTCTGTTCTGGCGCAGGGACCGGTTTCCCCAGCAGAATCTCCAGTAGGAGGCGCTGCTCTGGCTGTTAAAGGGAAGGGGAGCGAGAGCCCCTCCATTTGGTGCCCTCTCCATTTAGGACATCTCCAAAGACATCCACTTTGGGCTTTGGAGTCCTCCCAGAGTGCAACCATAATGGTCTTATCCCTGGTGACAAAAAAGGGGTGATGCAGGGGTGTCCGGAGACAGGAATCCAGCCTCAGCCACGCTGTTAACTCTGTCCTTTAGCAAATCACATCATCTCTCTGCTCAGGTGCCTCATCTGTAAACGGGGAGTGTAGCTGGAGGGGTGCTTCTTCTTCCCAGGTCCTCCTCTACCGCTGGCATTTCAGGCGACCATAACCCTCTGATCCCCAGCCCATGTCCATGAGAGTCTTGACTTCACAGCCCTGCGAAGGCTGTAGGCACGCTGTCCACTACTTCTAGACCCTTGGCTCAGAGATTTTTTCATTAACTTTTTTTTTTTTTTTTTTTTTCTGAAGGGCACTTACACTCCCAGGGAGTCAGACAAAGAGAGAGGAAGTGAGAAATCACCCCCCGGGGGTGGGGGGGAAGCCACACTGCAACCCTTCTCCATTCTTCTCCTGGGGTTTTGGGCGTGCACACACACATGCCCGAAGCAATTTCAAGCCTTCGGGTCCAGACTCAAACTGCAGTTGGCCATGCGGGAGTCCAGCGCCTTGACCACCATACCACCCACTGACCCCGAGACATTTCGAACTTGGCTTCTTCTGCTAACCTGCATGTATAAAGTTACACCATGTAACTGCAGGACCCCAGGCGGGTCCGGGGAGAAGCCCTCATCTGCTCTTCTCCATCCTGCCTGGGGTTTGCTAAGGCGCCTTCCTGTAGAGGGGCAAGGCATCACCATTCGGTGAATCGGGGCTTCAGGGGAGCACTGTTTCTGGCACCAGTGGGATCTGGCTCCCAGTGCACAGCACTTAATCCCGTGCTCTGTGCTCCGAGGTCACCCAAGCGTTCACAGGGTCAGAGAGCTATGTCCAAAGCAAGCTCTGCAGATCCCAGCATGTTGCGTTCCCCATAGGAGAGCATGCTGGTCACCGCCTCGGTCACTGGAAGGCGTCCCAAGTCAAGGGCTGTACCGCGGTGCTCTCATGTTCCTTCTTCTAGTCCCTCCAAGGGTTGCCAACGGAGACGGAATGTGCTCATAAAATGCCAAGCGCAGTGCATGGCCAGGGCACTCAGAGTAAAGGTTGGTTGTTACCTGGTGGGCATCCTTAACCCAGCCACACCTCAGCCTTCCACGTCCATGGGTGCAGGTGTGTGGCACCCGAGGGCCAAGGGGCTGGCGAATGGGCCGGCTTCATTCTCAGCAGTCCAGGGATTCTCTCCCTTCTTCAGACTTTCACCAGCCCCTCCTGCCTCTACTTCCTAAATCTCCCTTTCCTTTTTGCTTGTTTTGTTATGTATGTATCTATTTCTTCCCTGAGAAGAGAGAGAGTCACCCCCAGCAGGATTTTCATGTTGCCACCCAGCCCTGGCCTCAGCCAGCCTGGATCCTGGGTACATGTGTACCACTGGCATGCTGAGGACAGTCTCAGGATGTGAACTTGGGACCTTTCCCATGTGGGTACAGGTGTACCACCACTCGCCACCACCTGCCCTTACAATTTCCTTTTCTAGTCTCCCCCTTTCTCATTATCTGCCTGGTCCCAACCTTCCTGGCTGTGCGTAAGCAAGCCTAGACTTTATCCCATAAGTACTTAATCTCCTCCTAAGACCAGTGGCCATAGCCCTCCCACACGGTGTAATATCGAGGGAGGTGGCAGAGGGGAGGGACTTGGAGTGGAGGATATTTGATTTGTACATGCTTCTAGAAAGCAGTTTTGAGGTCAAGTTTTGGCTTCTCTCCTTGGGATTAATCCAACCCTCACATCACTATGGTGGTCCCAGCCTATAGTTCTGGTTACAAGTGGCTCTGGTGGGCTTGGGGACAAAGTGCTCATGGCTAAGCTGCAAATGAGGACTCTCTCATCCTTGGTTAGCTGTCAGGTTGGTTATGGCCTCAATCCGCTCATGGCCCAGTTAGCTGGTGGCTGTACCTTCAGTCTGGCTTGTTATAGAAGTGAGGAGACAGGCTTGCATCTTCCCTCTTCCCTTTCTCTCCTCCCACTGCCCTCTGCCTCCTCTCCTCCACAATTGTCTTTGATGCCATGATTTACTGCCAGCCATGACACATGCTTCCCCTGTGTGGACCTTGTGCTCCAGTGGCCATAGACCCAGACTCCAAGCTGGGCATGGTGCCTGTTACGCAGCCGGCACTTCACGCATGTGAACTTCCCACCCTCGTTCCCTCAAACAAGCCTTCAACTTCCAGAGCCTTTGTTATGTCACTGCTGTACTCTGAGTTTCACCAGCAGGGCCATTTTCCTTCTTCATTATGAGTACACATGAGACATGCCCAGCAGTAAGCTCTTCCTTAAGCTCCAAAGTGTGGCTTCCCTTGCTCGGAGCAGCGGGGCCCTGTAGATATCACATTACCCTTTAAGGCCCAGCCCAACCCTAGTCACTGGATCCAGGGCTGACAGTGGCTGGTGCATCCCACTATGGTTGTGTCAGTTGTGAACTACCAAAGTATGTTCACTCTCGTTGGTAAATAGCTGCTGGCTTGAGCCCCCTGAGTACCTCCAACCACACCAACTGCCCTCCCCTGAGCCCCCTTGTGCTCTACCAAGTGGCGCGGCAAGGGCCTCCAGGACAGGCTCCATCACTCCTGTCAGCGTCTGCTCTAATTGGCTGGTTAGTGCTTTTGCTGAGCCAGTTGTAGTATATACTGGCTTGGTATCAGTCTGATTATACAAGGGGACTTCAAAAAGTAAAAAAAAAATGGCCTTTTGGCCAGAACCGCCATCTTCCAGTAATGAACCAAAATGACGAAGGCCCCGCCACCTTCCAGTAATTACCCAAAATGATGAACACAAAGGGAAGGAGGAGAGGCACCCCGATCTGTGTTCTCTAGGCCTTTTAGAAAACATGGAGTGGTTCCTTTGACAACATATATGCGAATCTACAAGAAAGGTGATATTGTGGACATCAAGGGAATGGGTACTGTTCAAAAAGAAATGCCCCACAAATGTTACCATGACAAAACTGGAAGAGTCTACAATGTTACCCAGCATGCTGTTGGCATTGCTGTGAACAAACAAGTTAAGGGTAAGATTCTTGCCAAGAGAATTAATGTGCGTATTGAGCATATTAAGCATTCTAAGAGCAGAGATAGCTTCCTAAAACATGTGAAGGAGAATGACCAGAAAAAGAAAGAAGCCAAAGAGAAAGGTACCTGGGTTCAACTAAAGCGCCAGCCTGCTCCACCCAGAGAAGCACACTTTGCGAGAACCAATGGAAAGGAGCCTGAGCTACTGGAACCTATTCCCTATGAATTCATGGCATGATGGGTGTTAAAAATAAACTAATCTGTGGTCTATAAACAAACAAAAAAGTGAAAAATGGAATTAAAGGGGACCAGACCACGGCACAGTGGTAAAATGTGACACTCAAGGCAGTCCCATGTGGGAAGGTTCCCGGGTCTAGTCCAGAGACTTCTGTGACGACACCAGGCACACACTTGCTGATGATCTAGGGGTGAGTGGCAGCCTGCTCTTAAGACCCTCTTGGGAAGGCCGCCCCTTTCCCTCTCTCTCTGTCTCTCTCATCCATGGAAGAAATAAATCACTAAACCTTAAAGATGGAGTTAAAGTACAACTTTGCTTTGGTGCAAAAAAGCTCGAAATTCATGCAAATGTTTTTCATCATACATATTTTCCATGAGCCTTTTAAAAAAGAATTATTTCTTTGATTTAATTTATTATTAATATCATTATTATTTTTTTAAAATTTGCTATAGGGCATATGCACTCACCAGAGAGAGACAGAGACAGAGAGAGAGAAAGAAAGAAAGCCACCAGATCTGAGACTCAAACCATGAATGACCATGTGGGAGTCCAGTGCTTTAGCCACTGTGCCACCTGCTGGCCCTCTTATGATTTTTTTGAAAAACCACTTGTATTAGTTAGCTGGTGCTGCATAACAAATTGCTCCAAAATTTAGTTGCTTAAAACAATAATCTTGGGGACCAGCAGTTAGTGTAATGGCTATGTCGCTGGACTCCCATGTAGTTGACTGTGGCTCACATCCCAGACCTGGTGGCTTAAACTCACGCCGGGCGCGTGTGCGTGCATGCCCAAGATCCTGAGAGGAGAACAGAGGAGAAGGGATTGTGGCGTGGTCATCCCCCCTGGAGGGTGATTTTTCACTTTCTGTCTCTCTGTCTCTGTCTGTCGAGTGTACGTGCCCTATAGCAAAAAGCTCTTCAAAACAAAAAACAATAAACTTTATCTCTGAGTTTCTGTGGCTCTCAAAGCAAAACACAATTTGGTTGGAAACTTTGGATAAGACTACAGTCAAAGTATCAGCCAGGGTTATAGTTCTCAATGATTGAGGGGCAAAGGATGTGGGATCTGCTGCCAGCTCTCATGTGGTCATTGGCAGAATTTGGCTCCTCCAGGAGGGCTCCCTTGGTTCCTTGCTTTGTGAACAGGACAGCTTGCAATGTGGCAGCTGGCTTTCATCAGCATGGGTGAGCAAGACAGCAATAGCAGGTGAGGAAGATGAAGCCAGACTCTTTCTGTAACCTAATTTGGGAAGTGACAATCTATTATTTTGCCATATTGTATTGGTTAGAAGGCAGTCACTGGGTCTAGCTTTCTCAGAGCCAGGAGTCCATAGGGCAACAATGCCAGGAGGCCTCATTAGAGTCTGCCAACCACGCTGATTATAATCCCGTTCTCCAG